GATGAAGGGCTCTGTCTAAATTGAAGGAATGGGGATAACAGAGAGGTAATTAAAAAAAGAACCAAATAGTGTGTTTCATTCATGTGTAAAATCTAGTTTTTTTTGGGGGGGGAGAATAGGAAGGGAACTTTGGGGTAGAGGAAACTGACCAGTGGGAAGAAGCAAAGGAAGGGAAGGGGAAGGTACTGGGATGAATAAGAGGACAGTGCATGTGTAAAAATGTCAAAATGAAAGCCATCATAATGTATTCTAACTAAACTTTTTAAAGTGGCTGAAGGGGCTGGAGAAATAGTTCAGCAGTTAAGAGCATTTGTTGCTCCTGCAGATGACCTGAGTTTGGTTCCCAGTGTTCACATAGCAGCTCAGACTTGCCAGTTATTCCAGTTCTACTGGGATCCTACACCCCTTCTAGCTTTTAAAGGCACTGTATACCTGGGGTGCACAGGCATATATGTAGGCAAAATACTTACACCTAAAATAAAATAAATAATATAAAAAGTAAAGGAGAAGAGGAGGAGGAGGAGGAAGAGGAAGAAGAAGAAGAAGAAGAAGAAGAAGAAGAAGAAGAAGAAGAAGAGGAGGAGGAGGAGGAGGAGGAGGAGGAGGAGGAGGAGGAGGAGGAAGAAGATGATGGAAAAGGAGAAGAAGAAGAAGAAGAAGAAGAAGAAGAAGAAGAAGAAGAAGAAGGAGAAAAAGAAGGAGAAGAAAAGGGAGAGGGCTGGAGAGATGGATCAGTGGTTACAAGTGCTCCCCAACCAGATGACCCAGTCATTTCCCAGAACGCACATGGCTGCTCATAGTTATATGCAACTCTAATCCCTGAGGATCCAATACCCTCTTCTAGCTTCTGTGGGCACCAATAACTTACATAGTCCATTTATATACATGCAAGCAAAATATTCATGCACATAAAAGTAAATAAGTAAATATTTGCATAGCAAATAAATAGAAGATAAGAAAATAAAAGCATTTCAAATTTTAAAATTCCCAGTTTGGATAAAACGTTTTATATATACTAATAATTTTTGGAAATGAGGGATGGGGGCTGTTGGAAATATTATTTAAATTGTGTTACTTTTCTTTAGGGTGTATTTGTTTAACTCTGTGAAGCTGTGTTAATGTGCCCGTCTAAAACACCTGATGGTCCTAATAAAGAGCCTAGTGATGAAGAGTGAGGCAGGAACAAGGATAGGCTGGGCTAAAAGACAGAGATTGTAAGTAGAGGGGGAGCAACAGAGAAAGGAAGGAGGAGGAGGACTTCAGAGGCCAACCCCCCTCACCACACAGTCAGACACTGAGTAAGAAGAGAAGAAAAGAAATACAAAAATAAAGATTTAAGCCCCGAGGCCAAAGATACATGGGTTAATTTAAGATAAGAAAAGCTGACAAGAAACAAGTCAAACGAAGGCCTGGCACTCATCACCAAAAATAAGCCTCTGTCTGTGATTTATTTGGGAGCTAGTTGGTGGACACATTGAAAAAAAAAAGTCAAAGGAGTAAATATCATAAACCAGGGGACTTCTCTCCCTCATCCATTCCATCCTACGGCAGATAAGGGGCCAGGCCAGCTCTCTCATGCTGAGACACAACACAAAAATTCCTGTACACCCTCCATGTCTTGTCTTCAGAGACATAGAAAATGAGTCCATATCAAAAGCAATATGTTGACAAATGAGCATGGAAGTAAAAACTTCTATTAATTACAAATTGATTTTTAAAATTAAGGGACAATTAAGAAATGAAATTTGAATACATTTCAGGAAACTAACCAAAGTTTGGAGAATACTACTAAATGCACACATCAATTTTTATATTACTTCAGAAATATGTGCTGAGCAGAAAAAAAGAATTTTTATATTTATGTTTTTCTTCTTTTAATTTTATCTCCATTTTAAAAAGTATCACAAAACAGCTAAATTGCAACTGTTCCCAAGTTTGAAGGTTTAAAATAGCTTCCAATTTGAGCAAAGGAAGGGGGTAGTTTGAAATGGTCTTTGTCAATCATATAAAAAATACTTAAGTAATACAAGTATATGAACAAAAGTCAGAATTAGGGACCTAGGATGTGAAGAAGTATTTTTGAAGATGCCCATATGATGGGGTGGTCTATCAAACAAGGCTATGCTGATGATGAACCAGATTCACAGAGGAAAGGCAGATCAGCAACTTCATTCTGTAAAGAAAGCCATGGTACAAATGTTTTGCTATTATAAATGTATCTGGGGGATATTTCCATCTACACGAGCCTTTCCCACAGCAGTCTGTGGCTCTTGAAAGCTTTGAATTGAAGATGCTTCTTGAGTTTGAAAACTTTTCTGTCTGTCCGTCTATACATTTACCTAGGAGATATTAGTGCCCAAGAGAAAGGGAAACGGCTTTGGTAGTAGCTTGTAGCAAAGTACGGCAGCACACAAAGAGGGCAGCGAGCTGCCTGAGGGGAGGGAGGGAGCACGAGGCTTTAGAAGCCGGCATAAATACTATTACTACACCTCCATGAGGAAACATGGCAACATGTTTGCCATGTTTGCAAACATGGCAAAAGTATGTGGCAACATGCTCAGAGAAAGAACTGGTGGAAGAGCATCTTCCCCTCAAAGAAGTCAGATGGTATCTGATCAATTCAGGGCTATGGTATGGAAATATGGAGCAGGCTTTACAAGAGAACATTGGCTTTGGTGATAAATATGAATAAATCGTTTCTGGCTAAACACCAGCTGAAGGGAACCACATGTTACAGGATTTCAATAAATACCAGGAAATCCTTATTTTTCTCTCATGTTATTGATTCACCATTTATTTTTGTTCCCTCCCAACGTGACATTGGTTTTCTTTGCTGCAGAAAATGTAGACTGCCTGATTTAATACGCTCACCTACTCATCAGCATGGATAAGTTGTTTTCCACATGTCATAAAAACCCTGCCCTTCTCCATGCCTGTTGTAGAGCAAGTACTGGTACTAGTGAGAAAAATAACGAGACAGTCACGTCGTAAGGCTGAACGGTGAGGAGAATTTTGTCTGTCTCATCATCTCATGCTGTCCTGTACAGAGATAGAAGGCTCAGTGAACTGTGACCTCTGATGCCTTCATCATATTTGCATTGGTCTGTTCCACATGAATGGGACAAAATCACCCCTGAAAATGTTCTTAAGTTCATGATATAAAGGAATAGGTGTGATTTTTGTCTACATAACCCTGTTCAGTGATTTTGACTCAATGCAATGCCAAGGCAATATTGAAATCTAAGGGAAATGAGCTAAAGGAAGTGTGAAATGGGGTTGAAGAGACGACTCAGCAGTTAGGAGCACTGGCTACTCTTCCAGAGGCCTGAGTTGGCTTCTTATACCCAGAAGGCAACATCTGCAACTCTAGTTCCAGGGGATCTGATGCCCTCTTCTGGCCCTCTCCATGTATTGCATGCATGCGGTGTACAGAGAAGCACACAAGCAAAATACCCACACACACTAAATTAAAAAATATAAATAAATCTTTTAATTTAAAAAGTGTGGAAGAAGGAAAGTCTAAATTCAAGTGGCTGTTTGGGTGTGTGTACCACATATTTTTAAGATAGAAATCTAAACCTTGTAGTTAACACAGGAAGCATGGAGAATTTTAATGTGTTCCTACTTCCCTGCATTTTAATATTCATCTTCTGAGACATAGGTATTGCTTGGCTCCTTTATTACTATGATTTAAAATCATGGTAGATGTACCTTTGGGGATGGGAGGCTAGATGGCTGAGTAGCTGGAGGCCCAGTATAGAATTTGAATAACCAGCCAAAGTAAAAAAAGAAAAAAGAAAAAAAAAAGCTGCCATTTGCCCTTTTGAGCATGAGTGTTTATTGTTGCTACTGTTTGGGAGATTTCCTTATTTTTATTTCACACGTATGAGTGTCAACCTGTTTGTATGTATGTGCACTGCGTGCATGATTGGCCCCCTTGAAGCTAGAAGAGAACCTTGCATCCCCTAAAGATGGAGTTATAGATTCCGGTTGTGAGCCACTGTGTGGGTACTGGCTGGGAGCTGAACTCCAGGGTTTCTTCAAGAGTGGAAAGTGTTCTTAACCCTTGAGCCCTTTCTCCAGGCCCTTCCTTTGACATCTTCAAATGGAACAAACCCAGGGGAATTTATGAGGAACTAACGCAGTGAAAGTCATAGCATAGCAGATACTTGGTTTTCACTGTTTTATCAAGTCTCATTATCAAAAGCTGTTATATATGTGTGTGTGTTCATATGTATGTATTCATTGCCAGTGTCTTAACAGTGTCTTAATATAACCATCCTTGATATAACCCCCAAAAGACAGTTTCATCTGAGATTGGGCTTGTATAGTTCTTCCACAGCCTTTCAAACACATGAAAGGGAAACCACTGCCCATACCAACTGCACCTTTGGCTGCAAAGATCGGACTTTTCTTTATCATTACTCTTCATTTGTACTTTACAGCTCTGCTTCTACGCTTTCAGTTCTGCTTTTTTTTTTCTTTTGCTAGGGCTTTGAAATTCTCAAAGACCTAGGCTAAGGGATAAACCTAATACTGGGTGGATAAACTGGCCTTTCTGGAAAGAATATGTTAGTCAATCCAAAGAATACTCAACTCTTTGTCCCGTTAACTCGCAAGAAACAGCACAAGGTGCCTGATCTACAAAAAGTAGTGAGTCGAAATCCCTCAAACTCTGAGCGTAAGTCTCCCACACAGCAAGCTTCGGGCCAGGAAGAGCTACATAGCAAGACTTTGTCACCGACAGAATGACACAAAAGTGTTTCATTCCTCATTTTTTTTTAACTATATGAGGTGAATTTGGACAGGATGATGACATCATTATATTTGCATTATAATGTATTATACTGTTTTCTTGATGTGTCTTTCCTAGTCAGTCTTAGAAGATGGAAGTATATCTACTGTGCTTCAGAGAATATTAAAACCTGCAGAAGGATAGAGCATCAGAACAGGTTTATAAGGCAAAGTACCAAATCTAGTTGTTTCCTGTTTTTCTGCAGCCTCCATAGTGATTGGGAAATGGTGGTGTGAGATGGAGCCCTGCCTAGAAGGAGAAGAATGTAAGACACTCCCTGACAATTCTGGATGGATGTGTGCCACAGGCAACAAAATTAAGACCACAAGAGTAAGTCGACTTCAAATATTGCATTCATGTCTCAGATTGTACCATTTGCTTTGCTCTTGTATTGGCAGCAGTCTGAAGGGCTTTGAGTGGGACAGGAGGAAAGATTTCCTTTATCAGGACGTATTCTGGATTGGGTGGGTCAGTGTCCATCAATGAATTAGAAGTTAAAATCTGGCCTTTTTGCATGGTGTAGTTCTTTATGTTACAGAATCACAAATAAAGCAAAGGAGGAGGCATCAGTAGGGCGGTTACTTGGGGAATGTATCTTCCAACCACAGTGCTCAGGATGATAAAAGCACATGACTTGCTTCATTCATCCAGGTGGTATGCTGAAAAAGACTGTGTTTAAGTACAATCATGTTTAAAGGAATTTTAATGACATGTAGAGAAATTTAATGACATTCAAAGGAATTTAATGACATTTAGAGAAATACAAAGAGATTTGTAAAATCAGTAATTTCTTGTTTCTCTGGTTAAACCAGGAGCTTCCTAAAATGTATGAAGTCTGTAGGTAACATTGCCTCATCCTTTAGAGTCGGTGTTATACTGCTATATCAGGGTGGGTGGTGTCGTTAGGCCAACCATTAATCATGTAGGGACTAAAATGTGTCTGGAATGTAAGACACCTAAGGGGAGAAAGTAAGTGGAATTCTGGATGCTTAAGAGGGATTATTTATTCACTAGTACAAAGGCATGAAAATAATTTAACAGCTGGTATCATCCTATGCTGTGTATTACTCAACTGTCAGCATATCAGCACTGGAGAGTATGTGTGTGCCTGTGTGTGTATGAGTACCTGGAAGTGGGTTTGTGTGCCTTTATTTCTTGGCATTTAAAAGTGATCTTTACCAGTTTGAAGTCCACATGATAACCATTTACTCTAACAAAAGGTTATTCAATTTTTTAATTTTAGTTACAACATAATGAATCTTCACATGGTCCTTCTTCTCAATATCATACTGTCAATTAGGAAAATTTATAGCTTCTCAATATCATACTGTCAATTTACAGCTGTGTGGTAGAGAAATCAGCAATCAAGTTACATAATAGTATATGAAACACTCAAGTTCTCACATACAAAACAAAGGAGCATCAAATATAGTTACTCATGTGAACTATAGTGGCCAACAAATGGCCATAATTCCTTGACTTGTGGTCAAGAGAGATTCCTGAACCACCTCAGCTTATTAATATGAATCCTCATGTCTCTGAATAATTCAGCACAGATTTTTGCCTCACATTGCAATTAAACACTTACATAAGGAAGTGTCAAGAAATGAGGCTGGCTGGGGTTACTTATACTCAAAAGAAGTTGTTTTAATTAGCTGATGGAGGAGGCCAATTTTGACTCTGGTTATGTTTTCTCTGAAATATACCTGAACAAACTAGAACACTTGAAGCTACTCTGAATATTAGCTAGAGTCCAGTCAATTTCGGTCAGAACAAATCATTTAGGTGTCTTATGCCAGGGCTCTGTTCTTCTTCAACTGATGACTGCTGCCCTGTATGGAAGCCACCCCACTGCTCTCACAGTGGCTAAGAATCCAAAATTCAATAATGGAAATTAATTCAACTCAAATTATTTTAATATTTAAGTATAGAAAATTCCATGAATACCAATTCAGAGACTCTTTGGAAGATAGACTTCGTACTAAAAATAAGAAAGAAGCAAACTAAAAAAAATGAAAACGTCCAGAAATAGTTCATGATACTTTTTTGAGAACTGTCCAACTTATATCCAAATTCGACCTCTCTTTAGCCATCTGGCATGTTGTAATGAACCTCCAAACACTTTCTAATTTGAAGGAGGCTTGCGCAGAACCTGATCATTGTCATTGAGATTGTGGTGGCTGTTTGCTCCACCCTGGGTGCACAGAGATTGACCCAGGCAAATGAAGATACAAAAGAAATAAACTATGGCTGATACTGCTTTGAAAGTTGAGAATGTATGTGTTCTCACACGTCTGAGAATTCTCAAGGTCACTTTCGGAGTGGGCAAAGAGGACACTGAATAAGACTGTGCTTTATAAACCCTAAGAGGAGCAAACATTATTCTCACTTTTTCTCTGCTAGATTTCCAAGAACTGCCAGATTGAAAAAAAAAAAAAGACACTTGTAAGCAGGAAACACATCCATTGAGCCCAGACATTCGTTCATCCAGGAGCCCACATTCTGAGCAGGTGGTAGACTAACATCACCTCTTAGATAATACGTCCCCAAAACAAGGTCTATGCTAATTTTTCACACACTTCTGTGTGTTTTTCCCATAAGATTACATGTAGGCCTACCCATTTCAAATATTGACTCTAGCAATTTGACTTTTAAAGTAGTTTAATTCACAGAGGGACTTCAATCATTACGAGTTCAATTTTTATTGTTATCTAAGAGGCAAAAAACATAAAAGAAACTACTCATTTTCTTCGTCTATGTAAGATTGGTTTAAAACGAACACTGCCCACAATTTTAAAAATGAAAAAGTTAAAAGATATTCTAAACTGTTAAAATGACAAATGAACATTTCTCTTTTTTTTGTAGTTTAAACTTACTTAGATTTATTTATTTATATGTGTATGTAATTTGCGTGCATGTATGTCTGTGCACCATGTGTGTGCCTGGTGCCCAGAGAGGCCAGAAGAGGTTATTAGGTCCCCTGAAACTGGAGTTACAGGTGGTTGTAGACCACAATGTGAGTGCTGGGGACAGATCTCGGATTCTCTGTAAATGCAGTCAATACTCGTAACTTCTGAGCCATCTCTCCATCCCCAGGTACAGGATTTAAATGTCTTTTTTTGAGGTTGATTGAACACATCTCTCTATACAAGAAGAATTTAATGGGGAAAAAAAGCCTTGCTTTTCAATTCACTATTATCTTAGCACTCAATAAATTCACAAATACTATTTGAAAACTGAACACAGAGAAATTGTGTTTCTCTAGATAGTGACAATGTGTTCACTAATTTGAAAGAACCACAGTTGATGGACTCACCATTAGTCCCTGTAAGCAGCTCAGGAACCTGAAAATGCAGCTTGCCTTTCCAAAACAACCGTAAGGGGCTTAACCAAGCTTCAGGGAACATTGGACTGAGCTCCCAAGGTCCAGTTGAAGAGTAAAAGAAATGAGAAGATGAGCAAAGAGGTCAAGACCACGAAGGGTTCCTCCACTGAAACAGTTTACCTGAGCTAATGGAAGCTCACCAACTCCAGCTGGACTGGGAAGGAACAAGCATAGGACAAGACTAGTCCCTCTGAATGTGGTTGACAGGTGTATGACTGGGGCAGGCTGAGGGGACACTGGCAGTGGCACCGGGATTTATCTCTACTGCGTGTACTGGCTTTTGGGATCCTATTTTCTTTGAATGGATACCTTGCTCAGCCTAGATATAGTAGGGAGGGCCTTGGACCATCCATAGGACAAGGTGCCTTGCCCTCTCTTAGAATTGGATGAGTGGGGTAGAAGGGGTGTGTAGGGAATGGGAGGAGGGGAGGGAGTGTGAATTTGGATTGGTATTTCTTTAAAAATATCTAATAAATTAAAAAAATAAACCATAAGAACAAGTCCTTAATGGTCCCATGCATGACAACTTTAAGGGAAGTGAGCATTTCTTTCAGCTGTTAGTTTAAATATTAACTCTAGGGCCAGGAATATGGTGCAGTTGCTAAAAGGATTGCTGGGCAAGTATAAAAAACTGCCATGCCCCACATTAAAAGCTGTGATAACACATGATTATATCCTAATGGCCAATTATTCTTGCCAAATATATGAGCTCTGGTTTTAATGAATGACTCTGTCTCAGAAAACACAGCGCAGGGTCCTAGACGAAGACATGAATCTTTGGTGAGCTCCATGGACACACACACACACACACACATATATATATATGTATATACACACACACACACAGAGAGAGCGAGAACATGTATGCACACATAACCACAGATAAATAAATAAAACAAATTCTATGGTAAAGGTCTTTGCCAGAAAGTTCCTAGGAACTTAATTCTTTTCCCTGGGAAATCAAAAACCACTAAAAGCCTTCCAGGGGAGGGGGGACTCAGAAAGTCTCTGGAACACTGATAAGATGTTTTGATGTGTGATCTACTTTAAAGATGTCCAGTGTTCATTTTTAAAGGAGGGCTGGAGAGGAGAAATCACATGTATCACCTAAACCAGAATAACAGACCTGAGTAGCAAGCCACAGTATAAACGACTCATGGTAATCGTGAGTCTTAGAGACAGTATAAACTAAGAGGTAGAAAAGATAGATGGAATAAGGCAAGGCATTTTCTACCAAGGGATTTGGAGAGATAAACCTTACAAAGACGGAAGATCCCTGGAAGTCACCATATAGAAACGAAGTGTGTATGTTTGAGAATTTGTCAAAGATTCAGTGTAAAGTAGAATAACGTTGGTATCACAGTCTTATAGGGAGAAGCAAAGTGTCATGGCCAAACATTAACCTTCCTCACCTTGAGCATTGGTCGGGTTATTTTATTAAATTGTTTTATTGTTGCATAATAGCAAAACTAGACTAAATGTTGCCTAAAATCTTTTTCTGTGTTTCCAGATATTTCTTAGCACTTCCTTTGTTTAAAATAACATATCAAATAAAGACTTAGAATTTTGGTGAGGCTGACTCATGCTCAGTATCATAGTCACCTTATATAGGAGGCACAATGGCTTGGTTTAGAGCAGCAGAATTGCCCACAGAGGAAATGAGTTATTTGGTGTGCTCGCGCGCGCACACGCGCGCGCACACACACACACTAACTACACCTGGAAATGGAATGCCGAGTGCTCTGAAGATACTTAAGAGAAAGGGATGAAATTCAGAGAAAATTATAGTCAATTGGGAAGAAAAACAGGACAAAGATTGTAGAATGTAGACTGATTGATTTCCTTGGGAAGAATCGATCAACTGTGGATTTGCTTCAAACCAGCAGGGAAAAAAAATAATTATTGTGTCTTGTAAACTCAAGAGGTTTGTTTTCTTCACTTAAGCAAGGAGATATTGAACCTTAAATTACACAGCAAGCATAACAGTCATCATGTAAAGTCACTGCTTTTGTGAGTGGCCAACACAATCTATGGTCCTCTGTTGATGGTCTCTTGCTCTCCCTCAGATGATGACTTTGAATTTGACAGTTTTTATCCATCCTAATTACCCCAACAATTCTTTTATATTTAAGAAAGAGAGGAATATTAGTTTTGACACCTTCTAGCTTCTTCACTAAAATTCTACCAGGTCTAAAATGTTTTGAGAGACTGTGACATTACACTTCTGATTTCCATTCAATTTCTAGTTGAAATACAGAAAGGGAAGGAGAGGAGAATACCAACCTCCAAGGAAGTAATATCAAATTGCTGTCAAAATTAAAAAGCAATTATGAGGGAAAGGAGAGGCTTTAAACATGGAGTTGGCTGATAGGGTCAGAAAAATGCACAAAGGGAAGACAAACTACATCACACAGTGCCATTTGCCCCTGAAATGATCAACACAATCATTAGTTTAGTCAGGAAGTACAGGTTAGTCTCTGGTGTCTAATTTAATGTATTAATGTCCCCAGGATTTGATGGCAACATGACAAAGTCTCCCAATCTTCTATGTTGGGATATGGAGGAAAGACAGAGTTGGAAGAAAAGCAGTTTCAATTCAGTTTGGTGAATGTTACTTTATCTCTTTTTATAATGTTCTTTTATATTCTTTTGTGGTGGACAAGCAGACACTGTCAATTAAAAGTTATGTCCACCATTGGAATAAAGGAAATAGTGGTTTTAAAAAAAATCTCCATCTTTGTAAGGAGAGAATACAAAATAAATTTATGAAAAATTCCCATGCAATTCTGTACCTGGACCAAGCAATGCTTGAGTGCAAATTTTTACTATTGGTCTACCGAACTCTGAAAGACTTGAATTCATTTGTACTCCCGGATTCAGAAAGATCATTTTCCAAAACTATCAAAAATTAAGAAAGCTTGGAATGTATCTCTGTGATACCCTGGTGTGCACAAGACATGGGTTTGGTCCCAATATGACAAGAAATTGAGATGATAAAGAACAATGACCTATTTCCTTAAGCTGGGCTTCTCCCTGCTAGAGTCCTTGTTCATGCTCTCAGCCAGTGGTTCCTTGGGCATGCATACATCCTTAACATTTCCATCTTTGGGTTCATACTGAGATGGTCTAGGTGGCATGTATAGATCCAGGCATGTTCTTGAATTCAGTTAACACCCATCACTGATTGTTACAGGTCCTTGTCTTACAAAGGTCTTCCTCTGTTCCTCCACGTACATGAACTAATCTAGGCAGTGACTACCAACAGCCACTCCTCAATGACTTACAACAGAACAGCTACACAAGGCCATGGGGTGACAAGTTCAAATTCTCATCATAGGAACAGAAGTTGATTACAAAATTTACATGGCCCAATGCAACAAGAAAATGCAAGGTTGTCATTAGAAATGTACTGGTGAGTTCCACACAACAGTAGCAAGGAAATAAGCCAACTGTGGGACCCTTATTCGTCCAGAACCCATGGAATTGGGTAGCAGTTGTATAGCCATGAAGCCAGCTCTGGGTAGTCATTTCTCTAAGAATCTTTCTACTTGCTTTTGACACAAAGGAGCTTAATGGATTTATGGAAATATTGAATATCTGTCCACATATTTTAGGTATCAGTGGAAACCACCTGAATGAACACAATGAAATTAAAGACATCCTCATTTTCTGCATGTGCACATTTCTTTTGGCTTCGTTTCTTACTTTTATTACTAAAGTATCTTTCTTTCTTTCTTTGATTTCAGATCCATCCAAGAACCTAACAGAAGCATTCATTATACAAAAAGGAAAAACAACCTGTGGAAAATACATTGCGAGGATTTAAAATAGCTTACATACTTGCAAGCAAAATGGATCTCTTATTTGCACTTTGACTGGTTACCAGATAATCAGAGTGCATTTACTTTGTGAAACAGAGTACCCCATAAGAAGACTTGGGATTTTCTGGCAGCATCATGGGAAAAAGACTCTAAAAAATCAAAACAAACAAGTTTTCTCAGTGAAGTTTGGAGGATCATGAAGAACGATCAACCATCTTCTAACTTGGAACTACCATTACTTTGTACCATTTGAAATATATGTATATATAATATTTTGAAATATTATATATTCTCTTCAAGAAATGAACAGTACCACAGTGCGAGGTGGCTGGTGTATCCCTTTTGGTTTTGGATGTTTGGTCGGTTTTGTTTCGCTTGCCATTTCTTTTTCTCTTGGTGAGGAAGACACATGCCCATGTGCGAATCCAACATGGCGCTCTCCCTGGAAGGCCAGCTGCAGGCGAACTCCTGGAATCTGAGGCATCCTGACAATACTGAGTCAAGAGCTTCCCTCTGCTTCTACCTGGTCACCCAAGGAAGCTCGTCGTCTTGTTTTATTGCTTTCTACCCTGTGCAATATTAGCATGCAAGCTTGGCTTACATAACCATACTTTATATTCGATTGATATATAATAACCGTTCTAACCTCTTCCAGGAAAATATTTTTAGAACTACTAGCTTTTCCACAGATAGGCAAATGAGGACTCTTGAGGGAGCTACTCCACCACACTTTTAAGACTCTGGCAGGGTGGAAGGATGTAGATTCCTACATTAACAAGTCCTGTAAATACAATGTCTTAGGGCTTTGTATAGCTGTCCTAGACTGCAGAAGTGTCCTCTGATTAAATCCAAAGTCTGGCATTGTTAACTACATCGTGCTGTAGTGACGCGTCTTATCAAAGCACCTCTTTCTAAGTTTGATTTGCTTTTTCCTAGAGTATTCGCATCTCCTCCAGTGAGATAGGAAGGCTATGAAAGCAATTAGGTTTCCCAGTGATCTATGTGACCAAATGTTGGACAGCCCTATTAAAGTGGTAAATAACTTCTTTCTTAACCCACTAGTCCTCGTGTCTGCCATTTAGTTTTACAGACTCTGCTTTGACCAAATCACAAGAAGACCCTGTTCATATTTGTAGTTAGCTGGAAGGTCTTTGAAACTATGGAGGCTACTATTGCCAACAATAAAATATTTTGAAACCTAGAAATTCATTAACATGATTGTAGCGATAAATCCAATGGCAACTGGGTCACTTCCATGTGGGTCACTCTGATAATTACATGGGGCGCTCACCCCCACCACAAAGTCATTTTCCCTGTCTTTCTGGAGTTACTGAGCTAAGAGTAAACATCTACTTAAGCGCTACTTTTCCTGGGGGAAGTTTTAATGGAACTTTACACTCCTGTTACGGCGTCATCCCAGAAGTGCAAGTGTTGTGTTCTGTTTTCTCCCATACTTAGTCTCTGGCCTCTGTGTTGTTAAAGCCTCCTCCTAAATCAGCAGCACTGCGACCCCTGATTCTGGAGTCTCTAGTATCAAACTTCAAGTAAAACTCAAGACGTCCCTTTCACTCCACCTAAACAGCCTGAAGTTTGATTGAACGTGTGAACTTCTAACCAGAAAATTTGATTCTTTATCTTGAAGGCCTGTTAAAAAAAAAAAAAGTATCTAGAGAAAGAAATAGAAATCTTGACTGTAAAATTGAGACTTCCAAACAGTTCGGTGTATACTTGCTAAAAAGGGAACATAAAATTCATTCCAGTACCCAGGTGTGTTTGCAAGTGATAGCTACCCACTACTTGAGACCCCAGCACTTGAGATATGGAAAGGGGAGGGCTGTGAGGAGTTCCAAGTCTGCCTGGGATACAGAGCCTGACCTCTGCCCCCAAACAACAAAAACCTTCACTCCAGAAGTCCTTTCTTGGTTTTACAGTGCAGATTCAAGTGGCAAGCAATATCCTTTAGATACACACACCCTCAACCACACCCACACACACCCAGAGAGAGAGAGAGAGAGAGAGAGAGAGAGAGAGACTACTTCTTATCTGTCAACTTCATATTAAAATTAAAACCATAAAGAAAACCAAAAAAATAAATAAAATTAAAACCATGAACCCTAAGAATTATGTAGTTAAGGAAAAATTAAAACAGAAATGTTTGGCAGAGAATTTGGCATTGCCTTGAACACACCTAAAGACAGGATAGCAAAGGAAGATCAAGAAAGCCAAGTTTGAAACAAAAGTAAATAAATCAATCAAAATTCAGGTATATTGGGACTTCACTTTGCTAAATAAGATTGAAATGGGAGCCTACAAAAATTTACTTCTAGACAAATTTATCATCACCATATTATCACATCTTCAGTTTTCCAGGAAACACAGAAGTCTAGAGTTTTACATAAAATTCCCTAACATTCTTAAAACTAAATGAGCCAACTTCACTTAAATGGCAGCAAACATTGTTATTGTGTCATATTCTCTGAAGGGTGAACTGAGCCATGACATTAGTGTCCCCTAGAGTCTTCTTCTACTAGCTTTGAGCCCAGATGAAAGACCAATGAGAAGGAAGCAGACCCCTCTATTTTGCAAAACCACTCATTGTAAAACAATTCTGCTAACACACACACACACACACACACACACACACACACACACGAGAGAGAGAGAGAGAGAGAGAGAGAGAGAGAGAGAGAGAGAGAGAGAGAGAGACGCACACCAATATGTGAGGCACCAGAAGCTCTGACTCAATGTTAGACCTAACCTGGAGGGTGACATCTGTTAGCTCACTGCCATCCATAAATTCAGGCAGTAACATTCCTTGAAGAGACCTAGAGAAATAAATCACATCAGAACCAGGCAGCCATCCAATAAGACAGTGCAAATATTTGTAAATGTCAAATGCAATTTAGATTCATCCAAGCCCCTTACACGAATGTGTGAACCCTCAAATTGTGTTTAAATTTAACTTGTTCAAATTTGGGGAATTCAGTCGCTACCATCTGCCTACTGAGCCTGCACATTTATGGTGTACAAAATTTAATCACATACATATGATAATAAAGGGATCAGTGTGTATGACTAATATCAATTTTAAGCTTGTGCCCCACGTACCATGAATAATCAGTAACATAGTTGGTATATATATATATATATACACACACACACACACTCACACACACACACACACACACACACACACACACACACAGTTTCAGCCAGACTTCTGTTCTTGATAAAAGAGAAAGTGAAGCTTGTTCAAAGATTTTTGACATGAGTCTAGTTTATTTGTTGATGTTTTGGGTGCTTGGATTTACCGATTCATTGGCTCCACAAGCACTTTGGGAAGTTGACTACTCAGCATTTTCTAGCACCATGTGACGAGCGGTTTCACCAACACACAGCCAACATCTCTTTTCAATTAGATCATGCAGCTTTCACAAAGCAATGTCGTGATTTTATGGTGTGGTATATTATGCCACCTTGCGATTTTCACAGATACAGTAAGTTATGGAGGGCGTAAATATTGTTTATAGGAGGCAAATCACCCATTCCTCACAAACATGGAGTTTCTCTACTAACTAAGCTTGGCAGTTCCATTTCAAAAGCTCTTAGGGTCTATGTGACACAGGGACGTGTCATGTCTTCGCTTGAGTTATTACCTTCTAAACAGCATGGGTAGTGTTTAGTAAAAGTGTTAAGACTGAAGCCATCTCCACATATTTTATAAATAAAAGAAGACATGATGAAAGGCAGAATTAGTAAAAAGGAGTATTTGGGACAAATAGCATGGGGGATGGAATCTAACTCCCTAGAACTCACAGACTTTAAGTCAAAATGATGAAAAGGAATAAAGTTTAAACTCCAAAGTAAATTAAAGAGGCCAAGAACCAATCTCTATCTATCTGTCTAACTCTCTCTTCTCTCTCTCTCTCTTTCTCTCTCTGTCTGTCTGTCTCTGTCTCTCTCTCCCCCTCTCTCCCTTTCCCTGACTCCCCCTCTCATTCTCCTTCTCACTCCCTCTCTCTTCCTTCCTTCTCTTGCACACTAAATATCTTAAAATAGATTTTGTGTTTTTAAATTTATTAGTCTGGATTTTTTTTTCACCTTGAAAGGTAGCTCAGAGACATCATTGACTGTTAGGGCATCCTTTCATTATTGACTTGTAGCTGGTTCCCATTTGTTTATTATGTTTATTTTAGTGAGTTTGCTTTATTGTAAAAAATATACTGAGCCACTGATATGCCTCTCAGAAAACAAAGGTGTTTGCTACCAGGCCTGATGAGCAAAGTTCAGAACCCATGCAGTAGAAGGAAAGAATAAACTCTGGCAAGTTACCCTCTGGCTGCTATACACACTCCATGGCAGTGAGCATGTCCTCTCTCTCTCTCTCTCTCTCTCTCTCTCTCTCTCTCTCTCTCTCTCACACACACACACACACACACACACACACGCACACACAGAGAGAGAGAGAGAGAGAGACAGACAGACAGACAGACAGACAGACAGACAGACAGACAGAAGATTCAGCCTATTCTCTTTGCTTTTTTAAAAAAATTCAATTTCTATACACTCCTACTTTGGAGCAATCAAACTAGTAGAAAGGGAAAATTAGGGAATTGAAAGAAGACACTGCCAGCTTAAAATATTCACATGATTTGAAAACTTGTGTATTCACTCAAATTAATATAGGCTAGTGAAAATGCCCCTCATAAGTTTCTATGCTGTGAACACAACCTCCCACATTTAAAATGAGTATGTGTCTCCCTCCCTCTCCTGAAAGACCCTCTCTGTTCACACCTGGACTACATACACATTGACACTTACTTATTTGGGTTTTGACCTGGACTTTGTCAGTGGGGCCAGAGTGAGAAAGCTTGAAGGCCTCTCTCTCCTGTCCTACACATGTCACTGAAGGCTCTCCCTCTCCCCCCTGTCCTACACACGTCACTGAAGGCCACTCTCATCCCACACATGTCACTTACACATATTTCTTTCCTTGCCTTCCACCCACAACCTGGAACAGCACGTACAGTTTCTATTTGCTTTCATAGTGGAAGATGGATATTACTACACAAAATCTGAAGATTATAGGAGGACTAAGGGAGAAAGAAGTAGACACATTCTAAACAAACAAAGTGATAAGAGTAATTAGCCTTTTCATGAATATCACTGCCAGTGAGTGATACCAGTGGCATTCTATGACATCATCATTCCAGAAGCTCTGTGTCTATGACATCATCATTCCAGAAGCTCTGTGTCACTGGTCCCCACTGGAAATAAACGCTGAAAACAAAGTCACAATGTTATTTTACACTCTCTTTCTACAATGTTCAAAGACTGGACAGATCCATTGTCTGGAATTTTCTGATCACTAGTACCACTACTAGTATTTTTCAGCCACTGGAAAATGCCAGTGTACACTACTCTTGAACCATGTCAATAATGCAAGTAGGCACCTGATGGCAAAGGCATGGCTAGTGTCCAGAATAAACGTGAATGTAATTCAATGATGGCATGAGCCATTGGGTATGCAAGAGGATGGCCAACAACCATGACAGGTCATGACCAGACAACTTCTCCACACATAGCTATCAACCCATTCAGCCTAATGGCCAAGCAGATTTATATAACACTCTTTATTACTCCAGAAGTAGGACCTCAAGTTTTTTTAGATGTACCTCACTGTTAAAGATCATGTTTACTCATTCAGCCACATATTCAGTCAAGAAACAACCACTTATTGGGTTTTGACACTAAGTGACCAGTGTAGTAAAAGTGGAGAATGACATTATATGCTCTATGAATGACAAAAGTAATCTAATAACCAAGAATCACACATAACACAAGAAATTCCAAAGCTACCAAGAAAGTAAATGATGGATACAGAAATGCTAGCTTTAAGTAGAATACTCACAGAAGGTCTTAAGGGGGTGGCGTTTAGTTTGAGAATAGAAGCATAGCAGAAAGTGAGAGAGTAGAAAGGAGGGATAACGAAGGGGATATATGCAGATTCCAGGGGCTTCGGCCTGTGCAAAGGCCTTGTTCAAGAAAGAGCTGGATGTGTCTCCAAAAATGATAGCACCTCTGAAGCTATACGACATTGGGAAAGGAGTTTAAAGTCACATCATGTAGCAAGTACACACAATTCAGATGTGGGGTTCTTTCTGAATTGTAGCAGGAAGTCGTTATAAAGGGAGCTTAGAA